TTCAAAATATTAGTCAAGAATGTGTGTATGTGTTGGTGTGTTTCTAGCTCACGAGGGGATCCTTCAGCCATCTCTAAAGCAGTGATGCCTAAGGACCACAGGTCACTCTGAGAATGAAAGAGATGAGGAAAAGTTGGTGCACACACAAAGCTTAACTTGATCTCTGTTCATTTCCTGCAAACTTTGGATATCCTCTTTAAATTCAAACTGTAAATGAATTTGTGCACGGTGTGGGAGTATACCTCTAAGAGTTACAGAAACTATTTCCAAGACTTCAAGCCAAACCTCTTGCCTTTCACAAAAACAATCTAAGAAATCAGTGGATTTCTTTCAGTGAGGTAGTGGACTTCAAAAGTTAGTGTAATTTTATCGAGAAAAGCTGAATTTCCATTTCAAGATGCTTCTGTGGAATTTCACAGGAGAATGAAAATGTTTTAATTAAAATACTTGCTTGAAAGTTGTTTTGTCACTAATAAAATATTTTATGAATAATGATGAAAATATGCCTGTTCAATGTGGCGATGTAATCTTAAACTGCAGTCACTATGTGCTTTTGGTGGATTATTATTGAATATCAAAAAACTGTAAGTACATCTATTTCACCAGTCTTTATTCCTCCAATGTGTAACTATATTATAAGCAATGTGTGTTGTCTATATAGCATCATGGTAGCTGAAGATACACTTAAATCATTCTCCCAGTGTCATTAGAAACAAGAAGGAAACAGTTAAGGTGAATTAAATAACCGATACTTGATCAGCACAAACACTCAGCGTGCAGGTGAAAGCATTTGTCTGTATGGGCAAGCCTGTGAAGATGAAACGTCTGTTGTAACTAAGATATGAGACACTTGAAATGACAAGTGTACAGTAAATGGGGCCTTGGTTCAGTTCATCCTAGTCTCTGCTTGTACTTGTGTGAGGTTGATTTATTTCTTAGTTTAGCTTCAGACAACATCACATATGGTCTGTACTGACTGATCCTAAAGAACAAGGAAGTAACCCAGTTGTCAGGGTATTTTATTTTTAACAACATGTTAAAAGATCAACAATGTCCCTGAAGCTGGCCAAAACATGATGATTTGTGTCATTAAGTACCCTGTAGTCATATGTTGCCTCAGGGTTCTCGTCACATGCGATGACCTCGGGAGCCATCCAATAGGGAGTACCGATGAAGGTGTTCCTTCGACCGATGGTCCTGTCCAGTTGAGCAGACACTCCAAAGTCAACTGGAACATAAATATGCAAAACAACTTCACATCCCAAACTGCCACAATCATTGCTTCTTTGTGGTTGTGCTACTTATGTATGCATGACTGTTCTGCAGCTTTGCCTGGAGGTATGAATGTGTGTGTCTGAGAAACCACAACGTGAGCGTCGGCGCGTCATACCCAGTTTGACTTCGGCGTTTTCTGTGAGCAAAACGTTTTGTCCTTTAATATCTCTGTGAATCACATGATGGGAGTGAAGATGGGAAAGACCCTGGAAGACAAACACACACACACACACACAAGCACAGAGGAGTCAGATGATGACTATAAATATGAAGCCTCAAACACTTCTCTAAAAGAGTAATGTTGTGCATTTTTATTTATTTTTTTAAGGGAAACAGAATGAAGAGTGGGATGTATTTAAAGCTTGCTGCTTGACAACAAGATGATCCTAAATAACGTTTCTCTTTAGGTGGTAGTGACCTACTAGCACCAGCTACCAATCAGTGACACTGTTTATGTGTCTGTACTCTCGTGTCTTCAAAGGAGGCTAAATAAACAGAGGAAGTGAGTCTTATTTCAGACCATGACTTCACCATGCTACACTGAGTGTCTGTGTATGTGTTGATACTGAACAATGGGGAGACAGCATGGCTGACAGCAGCGAAGAAAGCACTGGCAACCGACCAGAGGCCTGTGTCTCTTTTTTTATTATTAAATCATCCCAGTTCTTTGATAATGTCAGCATCAGGGACAAATAATGCTAAAAGTTAATATAAAGTACATGTAGGTCTGTTATTAGAACCAGAAACACAAACACCAAGACAGAAAAGACTACAAACATCCTGGCGTCTTTCTCAGGACCTTGTGATCTCTCAATGATAACATCTTACAGACGTGTTTTAAACTGGCCTATTATGTATATAAATGAAAAAAGAATTATTCCCTCTGAGTCACAGGGGGAAAACATGAAAGAGATCCTGAGCCCTGAAAATGAAAACGTATCATGTCTGCAGCATCATATTTCTTACACAACAGCACAACTTTTCTGGCCTCTACTTTGCATTCACATGCAAATGACTACCTGTGCTTTTACCAGTGCTGCAGAGGGTCTTTACAAAACAGCACCTCAGGAAGCAGTTCACTGGTGATTCTTTGTGTATCCTGTCTGTGTGTTTGTGCAAACTGAGGGTTAAAATGCTGCATCGCATATGCAAAAAAACAGGGATAGTTGTCAGTGTTGTACAGAACATCAGGTACACATTTACAGTACATAACCCCCTATGCTACAGAACTGTATAGCGGGAGGATTTATGAGTATTTATTTATTTACTATTTTCTGCACAGACCATATCATGTGTCTGGTGGTTGGAGCATTTCCAGCATTTACATGTGCATGAAACTCCAAGTTCTCCCAGCTGAATCATCAGAACAAAAGCATGTGTAAAGAAAACCTACAAAGAGAAGGCTACTCACTACAACTCTCAACTTAACATAACATTCTTTTTATTTTAGATTCTGGGCTATGGACGAATTTGGCAACAAACAGCTCCATGCTGTCAAATTCACTGGCTCCTTCAGAGCAATAGAAACCCAGACTAATGCATATCATTGACTATCTAGGAGACTCCTGTGTTTCTACTGAGGATATTAAGAGAAGACTACTGTGATGATATGGGTGTATAATGTGTATGTGTGCTGCGAGTGTGTTACTTTGAACTCACCCTCAGCACTTCTCGGCAGATGTACGCGATCCAGTCCTCTTTAAAACAGTTTCCCTTGGTCTTCTTGACCAAGTCTGTAACTGAGCCGGCTCCACAGTACTCCATCACAAGCTAGACAGACATATGGACAAACACCATTCACACACTCACGCTTGCCAAAATAACGTTAATATTACTGCATTACGTTCTAAAAATGAAACAACATGACAGAAATGTGATAATTTCATAGAGGATTAATCGAGCAGGGTAGAGGCTATTAAATAAAAAAAGGCAATTTCTTCATTTTTTTTATTAATAACTTAAGCAGAAAAAAACATTAGGTACAAACCCAGAGCTGGTGGTCCTGTCCAGCAGGACCTTGTTTAATAAAAGCACCATAATAAGTAGCAATGTTTCTATGGTGGGAATAACTCTTCAACATGTTGATCTCCAGCTTTATCTCCTCTTCTTCTTCCTAAATATAACAAATAGAAGTGATGTTTATTCAGATGATAAAAAACACCACTTGTTAGCATGACTGCTCTGCATCCAAACAAGCTGTTAAATTGCAGCATCTGAAGTAACATTTTCCTTTCAAGGAGAGTCTCCAACTCTATTTTCGCCCCCAGTAAGCTTAAATGAAGTACATTATACACTTAAACACAAAGATGATGTTAATGCTGGTACACAGACTACTATCAAGTATCACACCTCTGCTTTCTGAGGAACTCAATCCTCACTTCCAGCTGTGTCTTCTTTTAGAAATGCATGAACTTTACACAAAAAATATGGCCATGCCTCTAACCCTAATGAGGCTAGATAAAGAGAGAGGGGAGAGGTACATCAGCTGCATGTGGCTGTTCATCAGAAAAGAAGACACAACAGAGAGCTTCCCCCAGTCACTGACCTCCTTTAAATCTCTACAGGATAGAAGGGGAGAAAATGACAAGGCAGAGTTTGAACTTTCACCTCCATCTGAAACACAAAGCCTCCTGTCTGTGTCTGCAGTATGTGTGCACGCGCGTGTGTGTGTGTGAGACAGAAGGCAGATAATAGCCAAGCATTTCCTGCCTAAGAATTTGTCTGCAACACAGAGGACCCAGAGCCTCATCAACAGCAAAGGAAGCAGGGTGTCCAGTTCTGTAGTAAGTGCCTTTGTGGTGAAGTAGAAAGAAAGTCTGACCAGTATTTTCTGACACAACAGAAACTGCACGCAAACTACATAACCCAGTCTCAGGGCGGCTGTGGTTCAGTGGGTAGAGCGGTCGTCTCCCAACTGGAGGGTTGGAGGGTCGAATCTCGGTGCCTGCAGTCTACATGTCGGTGTCCTTGGGCAAGACACGAACCCCCCCCACATTTCAGTTTACTATGTAAAAATATGCTGACAAGCACTAAACACAAAGTACAGCTGAAGCACTGGACAAACTTTGACTTGACAAAGCCACTGAATGAAAAATAGTCTTCACTAAAACACACAATTTTGAACCTCATGGTGCCACTAAAAGAAAAGTCAGGAAGGCAGTCCCCTAACGTAGGTAAACGTTGTGATATTTCATGAGATATGTGAAAACCTGAACCTGCTCAACCACCAAAGTCATTCAAATTCAAGCTCTTCAATTCACACAAATTGACTACAGTTTTTGCTATGTGTAAGCACATTCCTCTGATCGGTTCCCAAAACCGCTGCTGTCAAACTGTGCTTTGCTACATTATGGCACAGTATCCCTCTCAATCTCCTATTATTAGCCCAAATTTAATTCTATTCTGCTGCACTGTTGCTCTAGATCTGTAGCTCACAGTATTTGATAAAGCCTCCACATCTCAGTTGTTCGTTGCTTTGTACAGCCACAAGGCAGAACGCTGTTAGTCTGTAATAAATATATGCAAAAGTGCAAGCTAAACTCACCACTAAAAATCACTAAAAATGTAATTAAATTTTAGTTCAACTTCAAATTAAACATTTAATCCTTTGGTAAATTTGCATGTACAAGAATCTGTGTGCCCCCCCCCCCACACAGGACAGAACAACACCGGCTCACTGTAATATTCAATATGTGTGGGTCATGTGTCTAAAAAGTATGTCATGTATAATTTACTTTGACAGCATAATTAATAGTCTATTAGTTCTGGCAGGGTTGAAAATACTAAAACTTGATATTTTACTTTAATATTTACCAAAGATAAGCAAAAGAAGCAGACTGAAATAGTTCAGAGAAGAGGTTAAGACAAAAAAACAAACAAAAAAAAAAAAAAAAAAGAGGGAGTGGTTTAAAGTAATGTACCTCTGTGACTTCCATGACCTTGATAGCTGCCAGCTGGCCTGTCTTGACATGGCGACCCTGGTGGGATATACAAAGAATGAAATAGGATCACGCCGACAGAAAAGCCCTAACAAAATTAATTATTTCAACCAACATAGTTTTTTGTTATGCTAACACGCAGGAAAAAAACAACATAGTAAAACAGTGGTCAACTGTTGTCAGCAATATTCTTCAAATGTTAATATTTACTCACTGACATGTACAACCATGTGACTGGGGAACACAGGAAGGGTTGAAACAACCATAATGTAAAACAGATTACAACACATCTTTCGAGTGAATACTTGGCTTGTGATATACTTGTGGACAGACACAGCTCTGACTACATAATTTCATTTTCTCATGAGAAGCACAGTCAGAAAGAACAAGACAGGATGTGAGAGACAGGGCGAGCCAGCGGACAGGGTCAGAACTGTAAAGTGCAGTCAGGTGAAAAAGGGAAAATTGAAAACCTTGTCTCGAGTCACAAAGCTGACAAGATACTAGAGTAGCTACTCTATAAGCTGTGATGTATGACAGGGCTCGGAGCGCGTGTGTGATTGAAACAGACTAGAGGGCATGACAAATCCCACAATACTAAATCAGTCAGCTAATATTTAGGTACAGACAAAAAGTCAGAAAATCTCTGAAACAAAGATGGATGGAAAGCTGGAAAATAGACAACAACAAAAAACCTGTTTAGGTTTTATTTTCTCTGTAGCTGCAGAAATACTACTCACAGGACTCATTTCCACATTATATAGCAGACTACAGTGGATAGCAGGGTGTTGAAACCTGTATGCCTATAGCTATTCTTTCCATATCAGAGAAGTTTTTATGAGTTTCCAGGAAGTAAAGTCAGCAATACTTCTATAAAGTTCCATTAATTCCAAATCTCTCTGTCTCTCATCTTATCACGCAACTCCAAGATATACCTAATACATTAATAAATAATACGGCTAATTAAATAATCCATATCGAATGACTTTATACATCTATTTATTATTAATTTCAATTTTATTTTTGAACGCCCTCCTTTTTTTGGTCTTGGCTGTTAGTCCTTGGTTTTGAACTCAATTATTTTCCTGTTTTCCTGAAACACCATTCCCACTGGTTCCACCACATTCCCAGTCTTCCCTCAGAGCAGTGATAGGGTGCCGTAAGGATGACATGTTTTTGTTGGCCAACCTGGAAGTTAGCATCGTCCCGGTTCCTTCCACAAAAAAACAATGGGATTTTTGCACAGGCTTTTGGATTATTGCACAAAATAAGCTCTGTGACAAACAGTTTATGACATGTTTTGTTCAGTAAGATAATCGTCACATGTGAACCGGTTTTATAATTTTTGAAGCCCAAATACAATCACCAGATTTAAAAATCTACTGTTAGGCTATAAACAAACTATACCACAGTCCCATGACGTCAGTGTCACCGCCACGGGTTCCAAATTGTAATTAGATTTAGTACACTTACCTCATCTACAAAACCCTTTCCTCGTAGTGTGAGCTGATCTACCTGGTGATCATGGCTGTGTCACTTAGAACAGTTAGCAAGCGCACAAGTATAAACATAAGGAGGCTGTGAAGGTGGACTAGTGAGTAGATGAATGTGAATTCAGCATGATGACTTTTCATGTACCTGACAACCTCTGCAGTCTCATTTAACCACTTGTTAGCAACCACCTTTTTATAAACAAGTAAAAGCATAAAAAAAACAGCAACACAAGTGGTGTATTTACTGGCGCATTTTTGTTGTAGAGTAAAATGTGAAAATCCCTTCACCTTGTGTTAACACAGACCTTATTTCAGGCATTTAAAACCCACTGAGCTGGGGGCGAGGGAACTAAACTGCAAAACTGCTAGCTCAGTTCCGGGTTTTAGGACACACTGCTACAGCACTCTATTGCTCCAGAGTTTGTCCAAGTGTCTGCGCAACATCAGGGCAGCAGCTGAGAGGACTGTGTGACTAACTCACCGTCTTGAAAATAAGGTAGCTAAACACACTGAGCACCAACTTTTTTTAGTGCACTACTTCAATGAAGCCTATTATTTTACACAGTCTTACATAAAGTCTCCCCTTCTGTCCCTGTTAACTTGCATAAAGTCAAACTACATAAAGTCTGCCAGTGCAGATAATATTCAGCATCCATATAGAGAGACAAACTGGTATTTGAGTGTTCGGTTCCACAAAAAAACCTCATTCAAAATCCCATTAATATTTGTCAGCAAACACCCAGGCTTGAAACAATCTTGCCCAACACTACTGTCATGTAGCTAGCTATCTATCTATCTATCTATCTATCTAGCTAGCTAGCTATCTATCTATCTATCTATCTATCTATATATATATATGTGTGTGTGTGTGTGTGTGTACAGTGGTGTGAAAAAGTGTTTGCCCCCTTACTGATTTCTTATCTTTTTGCATGTTTGTCACACTGTAATGTTTCAGATCGTCAAACAAATTTATATATTAGTCAAAGATAACACAAGTAAACACATCATGCAGTTTTTAAATGAAGGTTTTTATTATTAAGGGAAAACAAAATCCAAAACTATAGAGCCCTGTGTGAACAAGTGTTTGCCCCCCTGTCAAAACACTGGTTTATCGCACCTGAGTTCAATTTCTCTTGCCACACCTGTTCGCAATCAAGAAATCACTTAAATAGGACCTGCCTGACAAAGTGAAGTAGACCAAAAGATCCTCAAAAGCTAGACATCATGCCGAGATCCAAAGAAATTCAAAAACAAATGAGAAAGAGAATAATGGAGCTCTATCAGTCCGGAAAAGGTTATAAAGCCATTTCTAAAGCTTTGGGACGGCAGCGAACCACAGTGAGAGCCATTATCCACAAATGGCGAAAACATGGAACAGTGGAGAACCTTCCCAGGAGTGGCCGGCCGACCAAAATTACCCCAAGAGCACAGCGACAACTCATCCAAGAGGTCACAAAAGACCCCACAACAACATCCAAAGAACTGCAGGCCTCACTTGCCTCAGTTAAGGTGAGTGTTCATGACTCCACCATAAGAAAGAGACTGGGCAAAAATGGTTTGCATGGCAGAGTTCCAAGACAAAAACCACTGCTGAGCAAAAAGAACATAAAGGCTCGTCTCAGTTTTGCCAGAAAACATCTTGATGATCCCCAAGACTTTTGGGATAATACTCTGTGGACAGACGAGACAAAAGTTGAACTTTTTGGAAGGTGTGTGTCCCATTATGTGTGGCGTAAAAGTAACACCGCATTTCAGAAAAAGAACATCATACCAACAGTAAAATATGGTGGTGGTAATGGGATGGTCTGGGGCTGTTTTGCTGCTTCAGGCCCTGGAAGACATGCTGTGATAAGTGGAACCATGAATTCTGCTGTGTACCAAAATATCCTGAAGGAGAATGTCCGGCCATCCGTTTGTGACCTCAAGCTGAAGCGAACTTGGGTTCTGCAGCAGGACAATGATCCAAAGCACACCAGCAAGTCCACTTCTGAATGGCTGAAGAAAAACAAAATGAAGACTTTGGAGTGGCCTAGTCAAAGTCCTGACCTGAATCCAATTGAGATGCTGTGGCATGACCTTAAAAAGGCAGTTCATGCCCGAAAACCCTCCAATGTGGCTGACTTACAACAATTCTGCAAAGATGAGTGGGCCAAAATTCCTCCACAGCGCTGTAAAAGACTCATGGCAAGTTATCGAAAACGCTTGATTGCAGTTGTTGCTGCTAAGGGTGGCCCAACCAGTTATTAGGTTTAGGGGGCAAACACTTATTCACACAGGGCTTTGTAGTTTTGGATTTTGTTTTCCCTTAATAATAAAAACCTTCATTTAAAAACTGCATGATATATATATATACACACATATACATACATACATACATACATACATACATACATACACACACACACACACACACATACATATATAGATGGATGGATATAGATATAGTTTTATCTGTGCTCAACAAGTACATTTTCTTAATTGTTTAACTTTTTAAAAAATTACTAATGTTTCAATTTGTAATAATTGCTGGAGTAGGTGCCAGTTTATCTTACAATATGCAAAGAAAACCCCAAAAACACACTTCATTTTCTCAGAAAAACCGATGAAAGAAATACTAAATGAGAGACTGCACTAAGTTACACGAGCTAGTGGACATGGCATGTATTGTACTGCATACTGTTGCATAACCCCTTAATAGTGGGGACAGCGCTTTAGTTAGTCACTTTCACTAATACATTTAGCTACCTAATCAATACAGTTAGTACAGGGTAGTTTAAACAAATTATCTCACTCATTAAAAACAGTGTTGTGCATTCTGCTGATTGTTTCTTTTCATGTTGCCTAAGATGTCTCACTCTTTGTTACCATGTGTAAATGTTTCAGCCTATCTAAGCCCATAGAAGTGAAGGAAAGAAAAATTAATGCGTCACAATAACTTAAAACTGCTGTTGAACTCCTCAGGTGAAAACCTAGCTCATATCTCTCTCTATTATATTGACTGTGAAATGTACTGTGTCAGCTCACTGACCCTATTCATTCTGTCCCCCAGTAGAGGACATAGTCTCCATAATTGCAACTGAATTGTAGCATATAAGCAGTCGCTGGACGGACAGTGATAAATAAAGAAACAGCCTTCTTGTCCTGTCAGACAAGGCTGTCTGCTGCTGGTGCTGCCACCACAACTTGCACATGTTAAAATTTCTATTTATAAAAAAAATATGCAGCACTTGCTCACACCTACACACTCAAACTAACTCTCTGCTCTTTACCAGAAGAAGTTTGAGAAAATTTGCACACTTTTGTCTCTTTGATGAAGTTCAATGAATCACACACACACACACACACACAGGCATTATGCTGCTGTGGGGTGCTGGAAGTCAAACACATACACAATAAATCCAGCTACAAATACTTTCTCCATATGTGTCTGTCACTTGCTGTGACACACACACACACACACACACACTTGGTGACAGAATATACACTACAAATATGTCAGTGAAAAGGTTACAATAATATATTCATACATACTCTAAGCTAATTAAA